TTAGCGTTGACCATCGTGATGAGCCAAGCTGGTTTAGCGTTGACCATGCTGAAAATGCCAGCGACTTATCACTTCACTAAGTTCAGCGAAGAGATATTTGAGAATTGCATAAAAAATGCATACCCAATTAAGAACGAGCGAAATACTTTTAAACACAAGTGCGTGTGTGTGTTCGCTGCACTTGGTTTATGCGGGAATGCAATATAAATGCGTGTGGGTGTTCGCTGTTCTTTGTTTATGCGGGAAATGCATAAGTCGCTTAAACAATCTGATTAAAAAGTTGAAAATTTTGCCGAAAATTTGCTAAATTTTTGCGAGTTTTGCACAAAGTTTAGGAATTATATTGTTATGTTTTTTGTTGTTGAATGAACCATATTTTTATACAAAATTGGCGGAAAAATATCAGAATAAAAAATTTGCTGTGCCAATACTTTGTTCCGGCAGTGTATGTAAAACAAATTAAGAATTTTGTGAACTTGTAACATTGTCCGAGACTTTGGAGAAAATCCTTTGTCGCGTTTTGAGCAATTGCATTCCAAACTTCAATCGCGATTTCCCATAACTGGCCGAAAGTACCATACGACAATCTTTTATCCAGGCGACGACATATACATACATATCTGTGGACATTTGTCTTCACAGCAGTAATTCATTGAGTTCGCGAATGGTACTCTAATTTTTAATCATTAATAGTAGCTTAAGCTGCTATCTTGGTGAAAGTTAAATAAAAATGTAAATCTTTTAAATGGAAGTTCCTTATAATTTACTCCAAATTCCCAAATACGGAAAGCGCAGAAGTTGTTTTGTCAAAAGTTCACAGATATGCATTTATGTACATAAAGAAGCGTCTGATTAACCCGGACCACAAACTCCTCCAACCCTGCAATACAAAAGGGGCCTTATGTTTTTGACGTCCCTGAATCCAAATCTGGTATCCGTTTGACCGCATCACGCGAGGTTGAAGGTCAGTTCAAGGTCAAACATACAGAATCTGTGGTTAAAGTGAACGTAAGTTTTTGCGGTCACTGAATTTGAATTCGGAGTCCGTGTAATATATTCAGATTACGATCAAGGACAATTCAGGCCATCAGATTTGGATTCAACGACCACCGAAATCTATGAAAACCCTGACTTAGTTTTTAGCAATGCATTTTTTAAGTTTGACTTTGAATTGGCCATGATCCTGATCTGATTAGGTCAAACGGATACCGGATTTGGATTCAGAGACAATGAAAACATGGCGTACACCTAAACTCTTTTGTGTTGCAATGTTAGAGGGGTCTGCGCTCCTGTGTTATCTTAAGGTCACATACCTAGACTTATCGCGCGGCTCCGCATTTTGAGAGATATTTTATATTTGAATTAAGTTTTAACTTTTCCGAAAGAGGTAATACTTATGGCAGTCCAATTTACTTAATTTAGTTATTAGAACATAACTAAAATATTTCTTTTTATAATTAAATCTCTTTGTTTAAGATACATCTAATCTAATACGCTTAGCTCAAGTTATTTAGATTTTTGGCTACCACGAGTTTTTTACATCTAAAGAATTTAACTTCCTTACTTATTTGCAACTCTACTCAAATTTTAGTATTTGGTGTAGGAATGAGTCTCCAAGAATCTTCCCTGCCTAAAATAATTCTAAGAGGTCGCGGTTCGAGTATCTATTTTTCCCATAGGAATAACACGTATTTAAGAAAATGAATTCTTCTTTTTTGAAGTCAATATAATTTTCTAAGATCAATCAAAACTTTTAAGCATTATGCAGGCTCAGACTATTTAAATTCTTAAATTATCGTACCGTTCCAATTTTAGTATATGTTCTGCCGAAGCAAGATCCCAGAAAATTATATGGACTTCAAAAAAGAAGAATTCATTTTCTTACGTGTTATTTCTATGGGAAAAATAAGCGCTCGATGCGCGCGCGACCTCTTCGAATTATAGTAGAGACGGAAGATTCTTGGAGGATCCTCTCTGTGCCAAATACTTAAACTTGAGTCGAGTTCCGGTTGCTCCGCTCCAATGCAGGATTTTTTTTTTGACGTTGTCTAATGTCATTGGCCTCTCAGTGGCCAATAAGGTGGAAATAAAGTTCCAAATCGGAATCAATTTAACCACTTTTGCGTTAAAGGGTTAATAAATTGAAATATTTAAGTATATGTACATACATACATATATTAGTCAGAATAAGAAAATACTTGTGATAACAAAAACAATAAAACAGTGGTTAACATCGCCGTTTGTGCAATAAAATGTCCCAATACTCACATTAAAGCCGCGTCCAATTTCCACATCAGCGTTTAGAGGCAGCGTGTACAGCCGCTTCGACACGACAAAACTATTTGTCCAGGAACAATCGACATAAATGGAAATGAAATCACCATTTTGTATACTGCAATTGGACGATATGAATGGCGAGTGCCGGGAAGCAGTGCGAAACGTTTACGTATGAAAATATAAAGTGAAAGAGATAAAATTAATTTAAAGGGCTATACAAAAAAATAAATACATAGTTTCATACGTATTTATTTATAAAAATATACACATACATAAATGGATAACGAAATGGTTAACAGAATGAAGTTGCCACAGTCCAACACAACGCGAAAGAGGTCAATTTGCACAACAGTAAAATATTGAAAGGGAAATAATAAAGCGAAGCAATGAAAAAGTTAAAGGTTCAGTGCGTGCATTCATTGCTTCAGTGGCGCTAAATGTGGACAGAGTGGCCAGGATATGCCGGTGTGCGAAGGCACGCGTGTGGGCTGCATATGTGTGCGGATGTGTAACTACCCTACCGTTGTTTTGGTAGGTCCAGTACATGTATTTACTGGTTTCGAACGGGTTAATAATGAACCATTCATTCGCTTTTTAAATATGTCCAGCTTATAATACTCGTGCCTTTATCTGAACTCGATTAGGAAAAGAAGAAAGTTGAGGCACAACAAGATGAAAAATGCCGATAAGTGTTTAACAGATAGGAGCAGGGTTCCTGTGGCGAATAATCGGCATTCGGATCAACAAACAAACGCAAAATCATAAAATGTTCACAATTTTCTTACATTTCGCTACAGCATCGAAAGCAAAATTCTGTTCGGCAGATAATTCGATACTCAACGAAAATTTCGACACGGTTGCATAGCTCATAATACGATATTCGATAACACTGCTTTACAGCAAAAATGTTCTATGGATGCCACTATCTAACGAACACTATCCAATGCCGATGTAGAATTGCTCAGTGATTCCAACAATCGAGACATTTTTTTCTATGGATAACTTTTCGAGATATTTGCAATGTACCGTAGATCAGGTTAAAAAAAGAGAGGTTTCTTAATCATGTTTATCTTACGAACCAATTGAATAATCGTAATACGGGATACGGCAAATGAAAGCTAATGAAATTCCCACCGCACGTACATCACTTCTCGATAGTTCTGATAGTTTCTGAGAAATTATCTTATCATTTCTGACACCTCTTGCTTTCGATGCAAACACTCCACCTACTCAGGTGTACGTGGCGTATGAGTAACACTCTTTTCTGCTCATATTTCGTACAAAAAATCTCGCGCATTTTCATTTTACCAATCATTACATTCTTATTTATACATTTCACTGGAAGCTTAATTTTTTCTAAAGGAACAGACTTTAAGACAAGTGCAAACATTTCCAAAGAAACTGTTATTTTTTATTTTTCCCTGTTAAAAAAAATTTGTAAAATTCATTTATCGGAAACTATCAGGCCTATAGAAAAATGATTTATACACTGCTTATGGAAAATTTCATTGGCTTTGATTTGCTAAATTTCGTATTACAATTGTTCAATTAATAATACAGTGAACCCGCTTAAGTCACACAAAGAGGAGGAACCAACAGTTTTACGCCAACTCCGGACGGCGATTGCATTTTTATGAGCTGAGAAGCTGTTTGTCATGGCCGAAATACACTCGGAGGTCTGCCATTGCCGGCCGAGGGGCGAACGCTGTTAAGAAAAAACCTTTTTTCTATATTTTTTGCGATGTTGCTTTGACCAGGGCTTGAACCCAGGCCCTGCGGAGCGGAAGCGGGCACTGCATACCACTACACCACAGTTTCGTTAGATATATGTACATGATTAAGTGCAACCACTCTTTTTTTAAGCTGAATAACGGTAAATTGCAAATATCTCGATAACGTATTCACAACAACCAAAATTATATTCTGCATACAAATTGGATAGTGACATCTGGAGAACAAACAAACGAAATAAAAATTTTCTGATCCAGTGTAACCATCGAAGATCGAAAATCGAGTGCAACTCATAATTAGGGTCATTATTTTGCATAGTGATGCGAAATAATATCAATTGACATTATTACCTTTTAAAAAGCGAACTTAAGTCAACAAAAATTTGGAAATTCAACGGAAATAGCGTAAAAAATGCTTGAAGTATGTCGATGCATGTTGTTACAATAAACATTGTCCCGTAAGTGTTGTTGCCGCGAAGCTACAGAAATTTAATGTTTGAAAGAGCAATAATGTCAAGGGATTTTATTTCGCTTTTGAAAATGTTGTAATAATGTTCACTGACTTTATTTAGCACCCTGTCACCCTGCTAGAGATCTGGTTAAGTTAATGATGCGTTCTGTTTGCTTTGTTTCATTGATCATTTGGCACCACGGTTTGGTAACACTGACAAATGAATGGATA